TCAAGCAAACATGGTTGAAAAGCATGAAGATGCTGATGACTTGTGTGTTATGCTTTCTGAACGCAACTTGGTGGAAAATCCTAAGGAGTGATGGATTGATTTTGGAGCCATTCGCCATGTTTGTGCTGTTAGGGAAGCCTTTGCAACATATGCTCCTGTTGGACCCGAAGAGACTCTTTCTATGGAAAATTCTGCAACCGCCAAGATTGAAAGATGTGGGAAGATCTTTCTGAAGATGACTTCTGGCAAGGTGGTGACTTTGAACAACATCCTTCATGTTCTCGAGATTAGGAAGAATTTAGTCTCTGCTGGACTACTTGTTAAAAATGGTTTTAAATGTGTTTTTGTATCCGATAAGGTTATAATAAGTAAGAACGAAATGTTTGTAGGAAAAGGTTACCTCATTGAGGGCCTTTTTAAGCTGAATGTAATGGTTGTTGAGAATAATAATAAAATTTCAGCTTCATCTTACTTACTTGAGTCAAACGAATTATGGCATATACGTTTGGGTCATGTCAATTATAAAACCTTGCGAAAAATGATTAACTTGGAAGTATTGCCTAAATTTGAATGCGACAAATCAAAATGTCAAATATGTGTAGAATCTAAGTATGTTAAACATCCTTATAAGTCAGTTTAAAGGAATTCAAATCCTTTAGACTTAATTCACACAGATATTTGCGACATTAAGTCAATACCATCTCGCCGTGGAAAGAAGTATTTTATAACTTTTATTGACGACGGTACTCGATATTTCTATGTTTACTTATTTAATAGTAAAGATGAAGCAATAGACGCATTCAAGCAATACAAAAATGAAGTTGAAATGCAACTTAACAAGAAAATCAAAATGATAAGAAGTGATAGGGGTGGTGAATATGAATCTCCTTTTGAACAAATATGTTTAGAATATGGAATTATTTATCAAACAACGGCCCCTTACATGCCCTAATACAATGGGATTGCAGAAAGAAAGAATCATTCATTAAAGGAGATGATGAACGCATTATTGATAAGTTCTGGTTTGTCACAGAACTTGTAGAGGAAAGTCGTTCTTATGGCTAACCGAATACTAATTCGAGTACCCCATAGCAAAACACAATCCATTATATATGAAAAATGGAAAGGAAGGAAGCCCAACTTGAATTATTTTAAAGTGTGGGGGTGTTTGGCAAAAGTGCAAGTTCCTAAACCCTAAAGGGTAAAAATAGGACCGAAAATTGTTGATTGTGTTTTCATAGGATATGTGACCAATAATAAAGAATATCGATTTCTGGTTCATAAATCAGAAAATTCTGACATTCATAATAATACGGTTATAGAATTAGATAATGCAGAGTTCTTAAAAATATATATCCATATAAAAAAGAATGTGAGTCGATTGATGAAGGATCTAACGACTTCAGGAATAAACAAAAGAAAGTACATTTAATCAGGAGGATCCAAGACGTAGTCAACGTCAAAGAATGTCTACTTCATTTGGACCATATTTTATGAATTTCTTGTTGGAAAATGAGCCTCGAACATTTAAAGAAGTTATGTCTTCTTCGGAATCATTATTTTGGAAAGAGGCAGTCAATAGTGAAATAGAATCCATATTGAAAAACCATACATGTGAATTGGTTGATCTTCCTCCTGGAAATAAACCTTTGAGTTCTAAATGGATTTTTAAGAGAAAAATGAAAGATGATGACACTATTGAATTTAAGGCAAGACTGGTAGTCAAAGGGTATAGACAACGAGAAGGTCTTGACTACTTTGGTACATACTTTTCAGTTACAAGAATTACGTCCATACGGATGTTAGTAGCATTAGCTGCGATGTATGGTCTTGAAATCCATCAAATAGACGTTAAGACGACCTTCTTGAATGGAGATTTGAAAGAAGAAATTTACATGGAACAACCTGAAGGGTTTGTGGTTCCAGGTAAAGAAAAGAAAGTCTGCAGACTTGTTAAGTTCCTTTACGGACTAAAACAAGCACCCAAACAATGGCATACGAAATTTAACCAAACAATATTATCAAATGGTTTTAAGATAAATGAATGTGATAAATGTGTGTATATTAAAAATGTTCCAAATCACATAGTCACTGTTTGATTATATGTGGATGATATGCTGATAATGAGTAATGACATTGCCAACATAAATTTGACTAAACGTATGCTAACTGGCAAATTTGATATGAAAGACTTGGGAGTTGCTGATTTAATTCTAGGAATTAAGATCCATAAAACTTCTCAAGGTCTGGCATTGTCACAATCTCATTATATTAAGACATTACTTGAAAAATTCAAGCAGCTGGCTTTAAAGTTGCAAAGACTCCAATTGACATGAATCTTGCGTTAGCAAAGAACAAAGACCAAAGCATGTCACAGTTGGATTATGCTCGTGTGTTGGGATGCTTAATGTATATCATGAATTGTACACGATCAGATATAGCTTGTGCTATAAGTAAATTGAGTCGATACACGAACAATCCAAGTCAATCTCATTGGATGGCAATGAAACGAGTTTTGGGATATTTAGAACATACCCAGGACTTTACTTTGCACTACAGTAAATATCCTGTGGTCATTGAGGGATACTGTGATGCAAATTGGATCACCGGATCAATTGATTCCAAGTCCACAAGTGAATATGTATTCATTATTGGTGGAGGAGCGGTATCTTGGAAGTTGTCCAAACAAACTTGTATTGCCCGCTCTACAATGGAGGATGAGTTCATAGCCTTAGATAAAGTCGGTGAAGAATATGAATGGATCCGAAATTTCTTGGAAGACATTCCATTTGGCCCAAACCGTTAACACCAATATGCATACATTGCGATAGTCAAACGGCAATTGGAAGGTTGGGAGGGTTATGTATAGCGGTAAATCTCGTTATATACGACGAAGATATAAAACCCTTAGACAATTACTCTCTGGAGGAATTATTGTGATTGACTATGTAAAGTCAAGTGATAATACGTCGGATCCACTTACAAAATGCCTAACTAGAGAGGTAGTTGAGAAATCATCAAGGGGAATGAGACTGTGGCCGAGAACAAGTCATAGTGGCGGTAACTCTACCTAGAAGACTTGAAATCCCAAGATCTAGATTCAAGGAGATCAAACAAAGTCATTAATGAGGGTCCAACATTGTTAACTAAACTTTTGGTCCATTCTCGTGATGAGACAATGTTCGGTACCAAGGATAAAATATTAAGGCCTTTTAATGATTTCTAAATTTGATACGGGGTATATTAAATAGGGTATCTACGAGATGACACGTTTAGGAATCACCTATGTAAGTGTGAAGTGTTAGCCGCTTCAAGGAGAATTTTGCAAGGCCAGTTCTCTATGCGCTTATGAAACCAGACGGTGTTCATGGCTGAAACGAACACAACAATGAGAACCAAAGACGGTTAAGGGTTGGTTGTGTGACTTATGGTTGTCTAGGTATACACCAAAGTTCGACAGTTCAAAGATGCCAAATCTACCGATTGACCGAGTATATCCGACATAAGTTCACTACGGAAAGTTCAAAAGGAAACCTACTTATCCAGATTCAATTAATCCTTGCTTGCGAATCACACAGTTTTTCATGCATATTTCCGTGATATAGCCATTCCCCATTCATATGGGGGATTGTTGGGTTTTAAGCATTAATAATGCTTAAAAGAGGGTAAATGAGAAATGGAGGGAAAATGAAATATTTGAGTTTCATTTGAGATTCCCTCCTTGACGAAGGAACATTGTCCCATATTGGAAGAGGAAGAGGTTTTTAATGGGTATATAAGCAATTGCTCTTCTTCTAACTCTTAAAGAGTCGAGAAGAAGGCAAGCCTTGCGCCGTCATCGTTGCTCGCTCGCTCGGCTCGGCTTCGGCTTCGGCTTCGGATTTGGTCAAATGAATGATTGATTAATTTTTTGGACCAAATTTGATTGTTAATAGTAAATATTAATTGAAATATTATTAAATATCCATTTTAATAAAAAATATTAATATTAAATCTAAGAATATTAATATTAAAATCCAACCGTTTCCATTTTTCCGTTTTCTGTTTTGGTAACAGAAAATTAACTATCCTCTTCAATTTTTCCTCTTATTTTTCCTCTTTATTGTTGAGTAAATAGCCATTTATGTTATGACATTTATGCTGTGGCCGTTTTGCATAAACAGTCATTCTGAAGAGTTGCACCTCTTCAAATTTCAGCCCAACATTGGCTATAAATACAAGTTCATTCTCTCAGATTTTCTATACGAATTTCTGAGTTTCTCCTTCTTTTTCTGCATTGTTTTAACTTCAAAGAAAGCAACAGTAAATGTAATTTGCTACCGAACTTTGTGTTCGCTGAAACACTAGGGTTTGAAGTACCGCTATACCAGTGTGTTATTTGTTCTATCATAGGAGGAAATAATCCATGACCTTGGATACTAGGAGGGGATTAAATTCCTTAAGAAAATACTGCGAATTCAGTGGGCTCGGATTTACTTTTATTTTTTTACATTTTCTGTTTATATGTTATTCTATTTTTTTCCAGAATTAGTTTACAACTAAAGTATACATTTAATTCACTAGAGTTAACATGTCAATATATGTTTGGTGAGAATTAACCAAATGAACGGACCTTTGACTATCGAGAACTTTCTTATGTGAGAGACTTGCACTATAAAATAGAAAACTAGAACCAATAGGGTTGTGGTTGAGTGATAATTGGTAAGTACTCTTTCAATCTTAATCACGCTTCTTGAATTCGAGTTTTAGTATGAAATTACCTTTGTTAAAGAGCGTTTTATCCCAATGTAAAATGTTTCGACGCGAATTCAAATTTGGTCGGGCCCTAATATAAATATCCAACCATGGGAGGTAAACCAAAATAATAATAATAATAATAATAATAGAGAACTAGATAAGAAAGAGAGCATCATTACCCATAGCATGATAGGATCCGATGCTAGGTATAGTAATCAATAGTACATCATACAATGCGCAAGGAGGAAGTGAAAAGTAAATAAATTATGTATATAAAAAAAATGTTTAGATTATACAGTAGTATTAATTATCGATTTGATTCAGTTTCATTCGAACCATCAATTTTCACTTGTCAGTTCTGCAGCGGTGAAAGATAAAAATCTCTTTCTTTTTTCCTAAAAATCTCTTTCTTTTTTCCTCTTTCCTCTTAATTCAAGAAAAACCTTTTGTTCGATCCCAATTGCTGTTTACTCGAATTCTTCTTTCTTCTCCAATTTAATTCATTTTCAGGGTTTCACTTTTCTCTCGAATTTTCCCAGAAAATTCATGGATGCATCTTTAACTCTGTCTCTTTCTCACACCAATTCCGAAACTCAAGACCTAATCGGTTCCTACTTCTTGGATCAATGGCGACTTAAATCCAAATCCGCCGCCGCTAAATCCGAATCAGTCGCTGAACCGGAAAAAACTCAGTTAATGGAAGTAGAAGAATCAGAAGATGAAAAAGAAGAGTTACCTACTGAGCTGGATACTTTGAATAGTTCCGGTGGGTTTTCGATTGTTGGACCTGATAAACTTTCAGTCCATTACCCTAATGTGAATCTTCATGGACATGATGTTGGAGTTGTTCAAGCTAATCGGCCCGCTCCTTGTAAACGCCTCGTTTATTACTTTGAGATTTCTGTGAAGAATGCTGGTGCTAAGGGCCAAATTTCCATTGGTTTCACTTCCCCTGGCTTTAAATTGCGTCGCCAACCTGGGTATTTTCTTGTTCTTGTATTGAATTGCTCTTTTATGAAATTGAAACTTTTTAATAAAATCTTTTTATTTTTTACTTGCATGGTGTTTCTTACATTTCATTTTCAATTTCAATTATAATGTGAAAGCTTGAATCTTGTCCTGAAAATATATAGGATCAATCTAGTGGCAATCTCTTTATGTTTAACCAAAGTTAAAAAGAATTTTTATGATCATAAATATATTAGTGTACATCAACGGCTAATTAGCTTCATAATAAAGGCTACCAAGAAAGGTTAATGCCAGTGAAGGCAGCGGGGGCAGAGCTACAGTGGTGCTTACTACGCAGTAAATCCACTTAATACGTGTAAATAATTTATCCATAAATCAGTAATCTGCCTTTTCTATAATCTAGAACCCTTAAACACAAAATCCAGCTCCGTCTCTAGGCAAGCACTGTACTGCTAGTGAACATAGACCAAACTTCAGCTTCTTTTGACTCTTGCTACCTTTAATAAAGTCGGAGAAAATCCTGGTTCTTTGCTGATAATTCTAATATTCTGATCAATTATTGAGTTTTAATGAATTGCTATGATATGAGAATTACTGTTGAAGAGTTGACAAGAGTGAGATAGCCAAGCTTTTAACTCTTTCGCTTTCACACCATATGAGTTGCGAGAAAGAAGCGATAACGGTCTTAGTACATTGATGATAAAGTACCTAGACTTCTAGAGGACTCATACGAAATAAGGTAAGTTTCTTAGTTATTGTACAAAAATTAAGAATGTTCCACATTATTATGTGAATTCTTTGCCAAATTAAATGGAGTGGTAAAGATTAGAACTATTTTCACTCAGTTAACTAGACATGTATAATGAATCTATACACATTCTAATGGAGCCTAACACAGCATTATTGGTCTTATCTGTGGCTCCTTGGTTATTTGTCTATGTAACATAGACTGAGAAGAATTGCATAGGAGTGGCATTTTGTTGTTCGATCATTGTCTTTCATTCTCACTCTATTTTTTATCTTTCTATGTTTGTCAGCTGGGATCCAAACAGTTACGGATATCATGGTGATGATGGACTGCTTTACCATGGACAAGGAAAGGGAGAGGCATTTGGCCCGACTTACTCAACAGGTGATACTGTTGGCGGTGGAATCAATTATGCTTCTCAAGAACTATTTTTCACGTAAGAATTTATCTGTTTTTTACCTCTTCTACAAAGATGTTCATGTTAGATTTCTGGATGATTTTTGTTGAGTCTATAGAAATAGTCTTGCTGTTTACATTATAATTTCTGGATGAGTGCGGTCTTATCGCTTTTATTCCAAAAGCAAATGCATATCTGCTTTGACTCAAATATTTTCCTATACGAAATTCTCAGGAAGTTGTGCTTTATATTTTTAATGCCAGGAAAAATGGAACTATTGTAGGAACAGTTTTCAAGGATGTAAAGGGGCCACTATTTCCTACAGTTGCGGTGCACAGCCAAAATGAAGAGTATGTAGATATAGCCTTATTATCTGTACCTTGTATTTGTTTTTAATTTATTATTTATCTCATAAAGATTACTCTCTATGAGGTAGGGATAAGGTCTGCGTACACACTACCCTCCCCAGACCCCATTTATGGGATCAAACTGGGTTTATTGTTGTTGTTGTTGTTGTTATCTCATATAGATTACAAATTCATCTTTACAAATGTCGTGCTTCCGGATTGTTTACAAATTCGTCAAGATTACTCTCTATGAGTGCGGTCTTATCGCTTAGTGCATACTTTTACCAAACTACATTTGATATACATGTAATAATGAAATATGATTAGTCAAAAAGAAAAAAAGATCTGTAGTTCTATAGTTAGTTCTAGTTGATTCTCTCAGCAATAGCTTTATTGATCCTTGGTTAGTTTGTCCAAACTCTGACTTAGTAGTATGCATCATCAAATTTAGCATTTCTGATTTCTTGCAGTTCTTTGTAAATTTAACTATCACAGGGTTACCATCAACTTCGGGAAGGATCCATTTGTTTTTGATATTAAGGTAAAGGTTCTTCTTGTTTATTAAGTTAAATAGTTCTCCTTTTGCTTTACCATGTGCCATGAGCTGGAGAAAATAGATGTAACTGTGTGTTTTACCTTCCCTGGTTGGGCTATGGTTGGTCTTCTCTCCTATTAATTATGCATGTAATGCTATGTGCTTCCGTTTTCAAGATAATCTCAAACAGACAGTAGATGCTGATTTTACCACTATTTTATCAGCCTTAGATAAGACGAGTGCATGTTTGTACACTCACCTTTCTGCCTTGGGGTAAATTATGGTCTGCAGCAACTTTTGTTTTTTAATGATAAGTACTATTGATGTCACAAAACAAACAGCACTAAGAAAGTGCTGAGATTGCATCCAAAAAAGAAGAAAAGGAAAGAGAAATATAAGAGAAAAGAAGACCCCCCCNTACCCATGCCATTTTACACCAAAAAGAAATTAAAAAATGGACAATCTGATAGAAAAATAAGTGGATAAAAAGCATGATAGCATACATTAGTATTAATCCCTTGTGGTTTTTGCCTTCTTTGGTTAGGCATATGAAGCGCAGGAAAGGACAAAGCAGCATTCAACTATTGAAAAATTGTCTATACCTCAGAATGCCAGTTATGGGTAAGTACCCCCATTGTTCTATTGTTATCACCTTTGTTTGGTTGGGAGTTAAAATTATAGTTTTTAAATAGAGAGAAGTGGTCCTATTAGTAAAGTTAATATTTGGCTTAATTTTAGAACTTAAAAAGAAAAAAGCTAGTCCTACATTTTCTTTTCCTAGTATAATATTCAGGAAGTAATAAACAGTGAAGAGAAAGAAGTTTTGATCTAAGAAAGTGGAAGGCATTTTAGAATGGAGTAACGAAGTAGGACGGTGATGAAGCACATTGAAGTTATTATATCTATTTTCTTCCAGATAAAGGAGTGCATCTTTTTTATAGTCTCAATTTAGAACTGAAGTGGTGGGTAGAAAAATGAGGTTTAAACACACGGAAGAACAAGGAGAATGTTGATTCATTTGCTCTACAAACATATTTTTCTGAGTATATATATGCATATTGAATCTATAATGGAACATCTGTATTTGGCAACTGTATCTTTACCCTGTCACATATCCAATGATGGTTCCCATAAGGTTTTGGTAGGAATATGGGGTTGAATGAGTTTCAGACATGGCGACGTGTAGGTTCCATCATCAACTAAAATACCCAAAAATTCATAGCAGGTTCCATTTTTTTTTTCTATAAATATTTTGTAATTTTCTCTAAACTATATAAAAGGTTAATGCTCAAAAGAAACTGTTACTGCTTACCTTTTCAAAAAAAAAAGCAAAAAAAGACAAGAAAAATGTTCAAAAGACACTGTTCATTATTGTTAGAGCATCTATCTGGAACAGCTGTTTGTTGCGTGGTGAGGCAATTAATTATCTCATACACTTTGTAAAGATTTAGAGAAACCAATGTATCAGTTCAGATTCAAAATTGTATTAGGGCAGGGTTGGCATTTTTGAGAGAGAGAAGTTAAACATTCGTGGTTTAAGAGATCTTTTTGACTAGTCACGTGGTTTAACTAAAGATTTGTGGAAATTTTAAATGATAGAACTAAAGATTTAATTGTGCTTAGTCAGGCAGCACGTGGAATTCTTCGATAAATGAAAGACCAAAATCATATTTTATCATGATAGTCGAAATCAAAGATAATGAAAGAAATAGTGGTAGACTAGTAGTATATCTTTCGTGAGCTACGTGAGAGAATCTTCTAGATATCAGGATGGGTTTGCAGTTTAGATATTCGAGATTTGGATTCCCAGGAGTGTGCAGCTATTCATCAATTAGATTTGAGTGATTTTCACCCCATATTCTGCTGAATCTTAATTCCGAGCATGAAGAAAAGGAGCGGCGGAGGTTTTTAGACTGTTGAATTAAAGGAGTAATTAAAGCACTTTGGTTACAAGTGTAAATCTCTTTGTGCACATTGCAAATCATTACTGTTAGAAATGCATTTCTTCTTTTCTTTTTGACGGGTTTTCAACTTCCAGAATCGTTCGCTCGTATTTACAACATTATGGATATGAAGATACGCTGAGAATGTTTGACATTGAAAGTAAAAGTACTCTTCCACCCATCTCCTTTATTCAAGAAAATGGCTTTACAGAGGACATGAATATGTATTCATTAAATCAAAGAAAGGTTCTTCGTCAGGTATGAAATGTGGAAGCATTATTTTTCCTTCATGATGATGTTAATGTATGATGCAAAGATACACATGAGACAGTAGTCACTTGATTTTTATTGCTGTCGGTGCCTGCAGGACCACTTTCTTTTCCCTTTTTTCGGTGACTGGATTGAGACTAGCTGATTGATCATCTTTTACTTCTTTTATTTCCACTTTTACTGATCCTTACCCTTGTAAAAGAAAACCACGGAAGAGATAATGAAAAGAGAGAGGATAAAGAAAAATTGGGTAGGATTAGTTACTATTTGGGATGGGTAGAAAACGAAACAGGTAAGAGTTGCTCTTTGTTTGGAGAGAGTGAGAGAAGATCTGTTGGCTGCTGGAAAGACGTTTTATGTTGTATATTATCTTCTCCTTTATGTTATGCATACCAAACACAAAGGGCTGGATATTGTTTAACTCTTCTCTCGTTTTCCCTTTGTTACATTGGTCCCAAGAAAGATTTAAAAGGGCATTCTTCAAAAGGATGCAAAATTTGCCTTTTCTTGTTGCTTATGTTGTGTTTAACTAGTTTCAATGTTTGATGGAAATGGAAAATGGAAATAACTAACTGAACAGTTTGTTAAGATGAAGAAAGTCATCTGGTGAAATACAGTTACTGGGTCTGGAAGGAAGTGAATAAGAGAAGTATTATATAAGCTTTCGGTACTGTGGTAAACTAATGAATTAGGAAAGATGAAGATAATCTTATTAGGTGATATCAGTGGCTAGTTTTTTCAGTTGTGAATTCTCAGTTTGGAATTCTATTAAAGGTTGTCTTTGTGTGATACTGTTCAAGGGATTTCATGTTACTTGTCTCTTAGTGGTATTATTAAGGATAATTCCCTTCGCACAAGCAGCTTCCTTTCTCTCTTTAAGATTCGTATTAAGATCCTTTAATCTTCATGTCTTGACGGAACATTACTTTAATTTTTGGATGATATTCTAGATGGTCTCTTCTTTCAACTGCTTCCTCGTAAGAAAAAAAATTTATAAGGTGGAAGAAAATAGGAAAAGAAAAAAAGATGCAAGCTTATCAGTAAATGGCAGCTTTGGTACGCTAGATTTTTATGGCTATTTACAAGTGAAGGAATAGATTAGTGGCGAAAACCCTACACTTCCGACCATAAGTTGGCTGTTTGAATTACCTAGGGAGTATAGCGGGAAAGGACACTGTTGGATTCCTTGGGTTTGGGGGGTGGGGGTTACCAGATAAAAAGAAGGTTCCTAAGACTGTTACCTTTTGGTTATTCTTCTCATGTTGGAGTGTTTTCTCTTTGACAACGCAAAGTTAACACATGAATATAGTCTCTGGCCAGATCTAGTATCCAAAACTTCCGTTTTGCCGGACGGGTTAGTTGATGAACAGCCAGTTACTTTCTACCATCCAATGCTGTTCTCGTCTTGCTAAATACTAGTTTTGGACTTTTGGTTCAATTATTTTCAGATCTGCACAAAACAATGTAATTAACTCTCCTCCCCACGCACAGTCCAAAGGAAAAAAATAATGTGGTGCTTTCTGACGTCCTTTTAACCCTCCTACCTTGGTCTACGTTGTTGTCATTTTGCTGACATAGAAATGATACTTACAGGAATGTATTTTTTGTTTAAACAGCTAATTCGAAGTGGTGAAATTGGTGATGCCTTTACGAAACTTAGAGAGTGGTATCCTCAGATAGTTCAGGTAATTTTTCTGTTAGTCGATATTGTGGAACATCATATGATTGTAACTTCATTCACCTCCCTTTACCTTTTTGCACAAAGATGCTGTGGAACTTCCTTACTTGATGTCAATTCATGTAAAACTTTGCAGTTTTAATTATCAACACTCTACTTTTATTTTCTACTCTTAACTTTGTTTTTTGTTTTTTTACCTTAGGACTTAGGTTTTTCATTTCTTGACATTAGTTTAATAGATATATATGCTTGACGATAACCTATTCTTTTCTAACATTGTGAATATATTTAAGATGTACATATGGAGGATGACATTTTTTTGTTTATATCTCCATATTATTTCTTGAACTTCACCTTTGAACTACACTACTTTTCAATAAGTTGAAATTTGCTTGCTATTTACCTTGAGTTTTGATGAACTCGAATGCCATTCTTTTGTCGACAATGTGGCGAAGAATTTGTTTCTTTTTTATTACAGACAAAAGAATTTGTTTCTTTTTTACTCACCTTTCCTTTCCTGATAAGCTGTTCTATGCTCTTTAGGATGGCACATCAGCTATATGCTTTTTGCTTCACTGTCAAAATTTTATTGAGCTAGTACGGGTAAGTTGTTTGTACACATGCTTCTGCTGCTTCATGTTTCTTTCTATGTATAAAACTTGTAAAAAATGATTCAATGATATGAAGAGATGATGCTGCAGGACAAAAAATTGCATTATCCCATAGCAAATGGTTTAATTTTTTCAACTTGGTGGTGAAAAAATTGGTTTAAAATGACATTGAGAAGAACTTAGGCTCATGCTAATGACTAGGCAGGTCACAAAAGCTTTAAGTAGACGTAGAAATAGTGGTGCATGCAAAAGAAGAAAACTCAGGTATGTGGCAAAAGGGGGGTCAACGGGCCAACAAAAGAAAATTTCTATATGCAAGTAAGAACTCATTATGAACAATCCAAAGAAAAAGGTAGACGTGCTATGCAATTTGTAAGCAGTTCATGTGATATAGCTAGTTTGCTTCCTATCTGGTGCTTTACCTTATCAGAATGTATTATTTTGACTGGTTATTTGGCAAATGGATAATATCTAGATAATACAGTTTGGGCCGTCCGATTTAAACCCTATTTGTGTTGAAGGAGAATTAGATGTTCTGTTAGTGATCTAATTGGTAAGGCCTACCGGAGTAGTGCGTCTCTTCTGAAGGCAAGCCAACAAATTACATTCTTATACAATACCAGAATGAGTGTAGGAATACGATAATTCAAGGATGCATCTAACCAATGTCAACGGAAGCGCCAAAATATTCATTTCTTTGGAGATACATATATGCTTGTCTTCAGAATATGTATTTCATTAGTGTTTTATGGTGCCGTGTAGTCATATAAATTAGCAAACAATTTGAAGTGCTATGTTCTATCTGTAGGCTGGAAAGCTTGAAGAAGCTGTGTTATATGGAAGGACTGAATTTGAAAAATTCTACAAGTTGGGAGACTATGATGACTTGGTCAAGGTACTGAAGGAAATTCTATTAACCCTTTTGTGGCTGTGTTTACTGATTAGCATCGTACTAGTATGAGCAGCCTATCACTAACATAGTGCTGGACATTGCAAAAAAAGTCCTTATACAGTTTTTCCTATTTACAATAAAACAGGTCATTACAGTACTGAGCTAATGAATTCTACTATTTTCTCCTCCCATATAATTTGTATATAACACCAGGAGATGACACATTTACACATCTAAATTTCAAAACATGTACAGCAGTGACATTTCTGTCATAGCATCTTTGGGTTTTCTCCTTGCTTTGTGCTGGCCAGCACCGTCTACTTATCTGGATTAGAGAACTCAATAGTTACTCTTACCATAAGATGCGTTAATTTTACAATGCAGAGAATGTTTAAGCAATCCTTATTATGTGTTTTAGCATCTATAATCTTATCCTCAGCAAATATATTTATTAATACTGTTTCTCTTTCCCTATCCATTATAGGATTGTGCTGCTCTGCTTGCATATGAACAACCACAAAAATCCTCTGTTGGGTATCTTCTAGGAGATTCACAGCGAGAAGTTGTGGCTGATGCTGTCAATGCAATGATTTTATCAATGAACCCAAGCGTGAAAGATTCAAAAGATTGCTTACATTCATGTCTTGAGAGGCTACTCAGGCAGCTAAATGCTTGCTTCTTGGAGAAGAGGTCTTTGAATGGGGATCAAGGTGAAGGTTTCCATCTGCATAGAATACTTAACAGTGGTAGAAAAGGCTGAGAGTTAAGTCGGTTTGTATTCCTTGTCACTCCCGACCCATGTATATACACAACTAAGTCTTTCAAGTTACTATCTGGAGAAATGCCCCCTGGTGACCAGAACACATGCTGTGTAAAGTCGTATGTACTGCCTTTGATTCGTAATAACTATTCATTTTCTGGAATACTGGGTTGGCTTTGTTTTGGCATCAATTCATGCCCCCACTACAGTAAACCTTCAATAGTTCGTGCACATTGAATGGTCAAATTCTCTACTTGGGTATAATGCCATCCGAGGTTCTATGGGATAGCTTTTGTACAGATGAATTTTTCAAATTTAGTATATTGTTGTTTTGCCTAAACTGGCTCTACATGTTTTATTCGAGCAACTCTTTGGAAATCAGATAATCATGGTTGTGTTAAGTTTGAACTGATTGCAAGTGAAGGAGTTTCTGTAAGGACTTGGAGCAGCTGCAATATGCGCGGTCTCATCACTAGCTCTCCAAACAATTGTTGTATCGATAAAAGTATATGTGAAGTCTTGATGGTGTATTGATGGGAGCATATTGATGTCTGAATATCAGAAATTTTACACACTAGAGCCCCATACTGACTTTGTTAATCATAGCATTATTAGTGCGATTGAGCACGGGCACGTTTTGTTGGGCATTCTGAATTTCTGTCATTTCATGCAAGTTTTGAGAACTGAAGAGGAACTTGGATGAGGGTTTTCCATGCAGCAATAGGCATGCTAATGCCTATTGAGCAAATTTGATTCCCAACAGTGTTAGGATTCGGTAAGAGTGTTTTTCTAAGAGAGCAACGGTAAAGTTGTTTCTGTTTAACGTATAGGTCACGGATTCGATTCGTGGAATCAACCACTAATGCTTGCATCATGGTAGGTTACCTACATCACCCCTATCCTTGAGGTGTGGCCCTTCTTTGGACCTAGCGTAAACATAGGATGCATGATGCACCGGGCTTTTAAAAGGGTATGTTACGCCGGATGAAAATATGCGTGTATACTACTTGACATAAATGATGGCCGCAAGAATTTATCAATAATCAAATTATACCTAATTCAAAAGTTGAAGAATTAATATATTTTTTTTCCTCGGGGAATTTTGATACATTGCGAATGCAAAGATATGAATGAACCAAAGGTTTAACGGTGAGAAAATTTAATTTCGATTCAGATACAAATTTGGACCTTTTCCTTTTGAGAAATTTGGGTTAGACGTGATCAAAGTTAACACTTTCTGACTCATTCTCCAAGTCGGCAATCTTATTAGCAAATAAAAATAACTTTAAATTTGTGAATATTCATGAAGGCAATTGCATGACGGACGAATTTCATTTCAATACTATATAGACCAAAGCTTCCTGGTGTTTAACAAATCAGGCGCACCAAATTTAGGCCAAAAATTGACTATACAAAAGTCAGTCCTAAATTCTAAATAGCTACAAGTAGCTGTACCAAAATTCTATGCCCTTTAAACAGTGATATTTTTAGCCTAGTTACTTCCAGAAAACTGTCAGAAATAAGATGTTTTGCCCCTTGTTAGACGACCTAAAAGTGCTTGACTAAAGCCTCCACAAAACTTGGAGCCATAGAGTATAGAGTATTATACTACCCAAGAATTTACAGCATGTGCAGTTGAAAACTTCAACTTCAACAGAAAAACATTGAGTCACTGACATTCATGTGCAACCTGGGCAGTTCAGTAACCGAGGTGCTCCCAATTGATTTGACGCTGCCGTGTCCTGAAGAAGTTTCGGAGAGATCTTCGAACTTCACAAACTGTGCAAATTGTTGTGCTGCTAGATGTGCATAACGGACAGGAGCCACTGCAGCAACAATGAAATTAGATAATATGCTAACTTTTGCTAATTCTGTAATTTAAGATGACTGATAACAGTTTCACTATCACATGCCTATCTATGTCTCTTAACATTTCAATCTCTCCCTAGGAACAAAAAAGAAAGTAATGCAAGGATAAACAGAATTACCAATAGAGGTCGCAGTCGTGCTCCTTTGATACCTGAAAGACAGCAAAGCACTATCACATTGAACTTGCAAATTCATTCATAACTTATAGATTGCATATCAGATAGCTTACACATATGATAGTGAATGTATGAGATTTTGCAGGACATCAGGTGAGAAACCAATCTCATCGAGCAATACATGATAATGTGCAGGTCTAGTTGTTCCCTGTTGTAAAATTCATAGACAGACTAGCTCAGTTCAATTTGTTTTCATATTGTTGAAGCGCTGAAGGAGATGAAGGAAGAAATTCAAAAGCGCAGGTTATACATAATGACACAAGAAATAGCTAAGAAACTGCTGGAACAGGTCCTATATGCCATGATAAATAGGACAACATCTAGGAAAACCCCAACGGGTAAAAGGATCTGAGTAACTTACTATCATTCCCGCATGTGCACACATGAAAAAGTCATTATTTCTTGGATGCACAATGTTTGTGTCTACAACAGTACCTGAGGGAGAGAGACGGTGTGTCTTAGAGACTACTTTAGAACAGATCACTTGAAGCAGAACAAACGAATTGCTGGAAAGTTAAAGACCTGGTGGAACATTTTCAGGTGCACTAGCTTGAAACAGTTTCGTATGGTGATTTTTTTGTGCCACAATCAAGGTGAACTTGGGGATGTCTCCCTCACCAAGATGCTTGTATGCCTGCTTTTGGAAAATGCCAGACGTATTAAACATACCAGGAACTAATAACTGATGGACAGCATATAGAACTCAGATCCTAAGAGATGCCTAAATTTAAAGTATTATTACTCTATTCCAGAGCATTAGCTGCAAAAGTTCAGTGCGTAACCTGTGGATATTCCATTCCTTTAAATGTTTTTGTCATGAAAAAATTAAAGTAAGAAATTAAACATCTCCACAAGCAAAACAAAAAAAACTATTTTATGATGCAGTGTTAAGTGAGTGCATTGGAATGGCAAAAGACATTTTTCAGATAGATGGACATTACCTTGATCATTTGATCTAGCTCAAGGTTCAGAACTTGACTGAACTGTGATTCACTGACGCCATCCCTAACAAAGGAAATTTTAAGTTGATCGCAAATGGCTAGCAATATAATATTAATGAACAATCATCATGTGATTGCAAACAAAAACTTGAAATAGGACTGCTATACCATTTCAAAATTATAGGACTGCTATAAAAGTCACAGCCACATATATTGCAATATTCTGCAGAAGTACAGAGTACAATGGTTAAAATTCACCTTCTCGCCTGATACCCTTATATAGTTGTGAAGTTCCCCATTTCGCCAAAAATAAATTGCATATCATAAGGACATAATGTACCATTTCAATCTATCCAGGTAAAGATATTTTGTTCTATCAAAAGGTTCTCAAGATTGATAGGATATGAAGATGACATCTAAGAACACAGATCTGCAACTCGCATCTTCTCATTGGAGAAACTGTAAGATTTATGATTTGTTTGTCTCAGAAAGATAGGCTCCAACTTTAACATTGTATAGTGTGCTTTATGATACTCATTCCTATTAACTTTGTGTTTTAAATATGGTGTACCCATGCCAGCTTGCCCGCACCTTGACTAATCCACCAATGTTTATATCCCACTTCTCTTTTGGCCAACGGAAACAGTTTTCCAGAAAAACTACATATATGTGGATTCAGCTTCTTTTCTTTTTATTATTTGTTATGTGAATTTGAAACAGTAAGATCTATTTTTTTGACCAAGGCTTATATCTAATTCCTTTCCAAATCTATCTATCTATCTATCTATCTATATATATATATATAATTGAGGGCCATACACACGGATACGTGGCACTTCTCTTTAAGCAGCAATTGCATTTATTTTTTTCTAGAAATTTTAGGGGTTTCCTCTGATTTTTCACTATCAAAGACCAAAAAAGCACGCAAAACAAAAACGCTGCTTCAAAAACAATACTGTTTCTTTCTACACCGATTCTTTACTCTTCTAACTTTTGTCTTTCCTCTCTCTTTCTCTATTACATTCTCCGGCTTGCTGCCACCGTTCGTATTCAGACCTACTGTCAGGTATCTTCTTCTATTTTCCTATTTCTTTTTCTTTTCTCTTTAGTTTGCCGCTTTGGCTGTGAGTCTCAAAGTTCATTCATTTTTTCGGTTTTTTCAATTTGTTAACGAAGATTGAATGACCATACATATCAAAACAATGAAGATTGAATATACTAATTTTGTGAAAGTTATTGTGATTTGTAATCTTGATGTGCAGACTAACATTGTCTTATTATTGGTTAATATGTCATTGACTTATACAGAAGAATTTTTGAAACCAAAAATCCTCTCACGAAATCTTCACAACCATACAAACGTAAAGGGATGAAATACAACAGAGCAAACACATGCTTATTTTGACGCCCATGAAGTGTTCGAAAAAAGACCCTATAGGTTGACCTTCCCCATAGAATTATGAAATGCTGCTATTTACTCAACAAATGCCGGTTTGAAATCCTTTTGAAATACATATTTACCAACTATGCCTTCTTGAATATATTTGTAATGTTAAATTTTAGACTCTTTCAACTTAACACTATTAAACAGGAAATAATGGAAACTAATATGTTGTGATCGTTCACTTCTGCAATTTACATTTACAGTTTCACTTTCACTTCGGACCATTAACTTTTGCTGATATCAGCAAAGAGCGTTGTTTTGCTGATATTTTTAATTAATTGTGACAAAGTTTGACAACAATATCCACAGAAGTTGATCATAATATAGTGATGTGGAGTTTAGGCTATATAAGATTTTCTATGCCGTGTTAGATATTGGTATTGGATAGTGCTTCAACTTCCTGTTACTTTTTAGTTTCATTATGAAGTACAAGAATGTTGTTTTACTGATATTTAAAATGGTAACAATGTTTGACAACACTATCTATAAAAGTTGATTATAGTATAGTGATATGGAGCTTAGACTTGATTGAAAGAACATTCCTTAACGAGAAATTGATAAACAAAAATAAATTTAAAGTTGCATAGTAGTTATGGTTTATTAACTTGGGAATGAATGAGTTAACAATAAAAACTTATCTTTAATAGTTTTTTGTCGTTTTTCTTTGTAGACATTGCTTCTCCTATTGTTTACATACAAATCCGGTTCTCTCCTCTTCGCCAATTATCACCTCTGCATCTATTTTAGTAACCCTATTCAGAGAATGAGGCGGAATATCAACTTTCAAGTCACTGTTTGTTTGTTTTATATCTTCGGTCCACGGAGGTTTGTTGAATCAGTGTTGTGTTGCGGTAAAGAGATGTAAACAATCGGATCTATGTTGTTGCTCCAACTTCACCGTTTCTTCAAC